GCGGCTGTTTTTCGACATTCGCACTATTTTTTTCGACATTTTAAAGATGCCATTCGATAGAGCATCCAAAAATATACTAAGAGTTTTAATTTTAGCTCAAAATAATGCAATATAAAATAGTTATAACAAAAACAAGTATTAAAGTTGTTTCCATGGAGGACATAGAAGGAAATCAAGTTTTCGACATTTTCGACATTTTTACAAAATTTATTTAGTGCCATTCGACAGAGCGGCGAAAAATATACTAAGAGTTTTGTTCGTAGCAAAAAGAAACGCAAAAAAAATAGTTAGCTCGGCCCCAACAGTCCGTCCCCCGCGTAAAATCCCCCGCGTAGCCGACATATACCAACTGTTGTATAGATCTCGATTCTTTGGTCATTTTTGCATTGACTTCGAAGAGCCCAAACAGTATTTTGCCATGGCGCTATGACGCAGTACACCTTCCCCTGGTCCCAGTGCGCACCGCGCTTCCCCCGCCAGGGGTTTTCGATTTCTCTTTTTCGCTTTCAATTTCGATTTTCTGTCTTTCTACTCATACAGTATTCCTTTAAAATTCACTTCACTTTTTCTTTTGTCATCTGATGCGAAAAGTTAGCAAAGAAGCTTTCTGCTACCCATAATCTTGATGTTCTCTCTCAGTTCTATCCGCTTCGTTCTCTGATTGTCATCACATAACCCATTTTAGATGGAGCGTTACGACCGTGCTATCACAATCTTCTCGCCGGACGGCCATCTCTTCCAAGTCGAATACGCAAACGAGGCGGTCAAGAAGGGGTCCACTGCGGTAGATTTGCTCCCCTCGTTCATTCACTTTTTTAGGTTGGAGTGCGCGGGAAGAACTGTGTCGTCATCGGCGTGGAGAAGAAGACGATTCCCACGCTACAGGTATCGCTACGTTATATTGCACTCTTCTTTCCTTCTTCAGGATGACCGAACTGTGCGCAAGATTCATATGATTGACGATCACATCATGCTTGCCTTTGCTGGTAATTACTGTGATGAATTTATTACTCTTTCCCTAGGCCTGTCGGCGGATGCACGTGTGCTTGTCGACCGTGCTCGCATGGAGTGCCAATCATACAAGCTGCGCCTTGAGGATCCTGTGACTGTGCACTATATTTCCCGATACGTCGCTGACACTAAGCAGGTCAGTCTTATTGTGTTTTTTTATTGCTCTTTAGCGCTTCACACAATCCCCTGGACGTCGTCCATTCGGAATCGCAATGCTGGTCGCCGGTTTCGACTACGATGGCCGCCCGCGTCTCTACAAGACCGAGCCAAGCGGTGCATACTATGAATACTTCGTAAGGTTCTGACACTTTCTATGAGCCATTTTCTAGGCAAATTCGACCGGCCGTGGCGAAAAAGCTGTTCGCGAGTTCCTGGAAGAGAAGTACAATGACGAAAATGTGCAAGACGAGGCGGCTACTCTCAAGCTGGTAGTAAAGGCGCTCTCACAGGTATGCTTCATGTAGTCGGATTTATTTATCAAAATATAGGTTGTTCCATCTGGGGCTAGCAACATCGAGATCGCTGTGATGACATCTGCCACGGGAAAGGTTAGCATTCCCACCATTAATATTTATTTTTAGCCTGGCGAATGCCACCAGCGGGTTTTGACTACCGAGGAAGTGGATGCCCTCCTAAAGGTATTTGCCTAACCTAATTCCTAAGATTTTCATTTCGTTAGGTTGTGGAAGCTGAGCGTCAAGCCACCGAGGCCGAGGAAGCAGCCCGCAAAGAAGCCGCCCGCACAGGAGCTCCGAAACAACAGTGATTAAAAACTCCAATTAAATTTTATACCGGTGTTACGTGTTTTTGCTAAATGTAATTTTCCCTTTGTGGTGATGAAACCCATGAGACCCTCCCTGATAAAGCCCCTTTGCCTTTGAGCGGTCACAACGGGGATAGCAGCAGGCAGACTGAAGTTTTTGGGGCGGAAGCTTTCGACACGGACAAGCATTGAGGCGCAGAATTGGATTTTGCTAAATCTTTCAGGGGCGGCGAGGCCTTTTCTCCCATTTCGCACACGGGCTGAAATATGAGACTCCATGCGGCGGTGAAGCCCAATAACGCTGCGGGGAATCTTCATACTTGTGGGTGGTGCTCGCGATGCCCATGGGACATTTGAGGCTTCACCGATTTTGATCAGGATGTCATTTCATTTATCGGGTTTAAAAAGAGGTAATTCCTTGGTCAAGCATTCAGGTGGCGCGTAAGGGTGGAACACGCTCCCTTTTCATCTGACACTTTTGCATTTGAGCAAGAAAAGCCTTTGTGTGCCCCTTTGGGGGGAAATCATGCTCCGACGAGCCGGTAATCGGGTCCGCCCCTTTTTCGCCGAGATCCAAGCCTTCTGCTGACGGGCCAAAAACTGGGGGCCCAGTTGCCCCCCAGGCCGCGCACCACCCCAGTGGGCCTTTTGCGGGCCAAGGCCCCTTGGCCCCCCGTTTCCTTCCACCAACTTGCCCAATTCATCCATCTTTCCCCCAAAGGGCGCCTCTGGCTTGCGCGTACACACAACCCGCATACGCATAAGTGTTTTCCCATCAATGGGCCCCCCCAAGGGCCAGAAGTATTGATATTCTGGCTCCATGCCCGGATTGCGGCTGTGGTGGGCCCTTTTTTGATGTGCCACACTTCACACTGGCCCTTCGAGCTAGCGTTAACGTCTCACGAATCTAGGCAGAATTGAGCTAATTATGCCGTACGCCATGTTGGCTTTTCGAAAGGAAGAGGAGGGGTGCATCTCGAGCCGGCGTTGCTCGTTAGGGCCCCCTCCACCTTCTTCTCCCACCCCTTTGAGAAACACTATGCATTAGCTTCCGCTGCCCATTCGTTTCATTCCCTGCCGAATTGGACCGGAGATGGATTCAAACCCCCTATTTTATGGATTCCAGTTGTTGGGAGACTTTCCATTCGGCATAACGGCGCCGGGTGTCGAACGATGAGCTTGTAAAAAGCATTCCAGAGCTTTTACCATCGGCGTTCCTTCAGCTTGAGCCTTCAGTACCGCACGTTTGCATACATCGACGTAGCGTTCAGCTTGTCCATTGCTTTGTGGGTGGTACGGCGGTGAGAACATGTGACGAATTCCATTTTTCGTGCACCATTCATCGAAGAACTTGTTCGCGAATTGTCGACCATTGTCCGAGACGATCACTTCGGGCAATCCGTATCGAGCAAACAAAGCGTCCATGACCTCGACCGTCTTTTGCGCATCTGCCGTCTTCATGGGCACGGCCTCGACCCATTTCGAATACGCGTCGACGATGATCAACAGCATCTGTCCTTCGATGGGTCCCGCAAAATCGAGGTGAATCCTTGACCATGGCGCATGTGACAACGGCCATGAGTGCAGAGTGTTCTTGAGCGGTGATTTGGCGAATTGAGCGCACACATCACAACTTTTCGTCACTTTCTCGAGATCCGCGTCAATATTTGGCCAATAGACGAAAGATCTCGCCAAGGTCTTCATCCTTTCCGCACCTTGGTGACCTTGATGCAGCATTTTCAGCGTCTCGGGCTGAAGCAGTTTCGGGACAACTACTCGGTGGCGCCACATCAATAGTCCATCGCAGATTTCCAGATCCGAGCGTCGATGGTAGAACTTCGACAACAGCTCGTCCTTCCCGGGCTTTGGCCAGACATCCTTCCGCACACAATCCATGACCTTCAGCAACGTCGCATCTTTTGCGGTCATCCGTTTCATTCGTTGAAACTGTGTCGGTAGCGGGCATTCCAGTGCAGCCACATCAATGTCCTCGGCATCGATTTGTGCAATCATCCGATCCTCCGGGGCGTTCGGTCGGCTCGCGATCAGCCGTGAGAGTACATCTGCTTGTCCGAACTTGTCCGTGCGCACATATTCGATCTTGAAATCGTAGTTCAGCAATGTAGTCGCCCATCTTTGAAGACGATTTGCTGAGTAGATCGGGATTCCTTTCGAGCTTCCAAAAACGGCAAGCAACGGCTTGTGGTCCGTTTTGAGCAGGAACTTCCTTCCCAAAATGTAGCGATGGAACTTCTTGACAGCGTAGACGAGGGCGAGAGCTTCTTTCTCAATTTGCGAGTACCTTCGCTCCGTCTCCGTCAATTTTCTCGAGCAATGTTGGATGGCCTTCTCACATCCTTCCTTCCGATGGCTGATCACGCATCCAATCCCGTATTCGCTCGCATCCGCAGCGACGACGATCTCTTGCGCAGGATCGTAGTGACACAGCAGCAGATCGCTCATCAAGACTTCTTTTATTTTGGCAAAAGCCAATTCATGATCTTTTTTCCATTCCAGCTTTTTCTTTTTCTCGGAATGCTGAGTTGTTCTTTTCTCAGAATTTTTTATGATACATAAATCATCGAGAGGTTTACGTAGCAAAGACAACTTGGAAACAAAAGATCCGTAGAATTGCACAGCGCCAAGGAATGAACGTAATTCCGATAGAGTCGTTGGTGCAGGCATGTCCTTGATTGCGGCGATCTTGATCGGATCCGGTCTCCTTCCATCCGCATCAATGATGAATCCAAGGAACTTGATTTGGCTCCGGCCAAACGTGCACTTCTCCAATCGTACATTCATCCCGAAGTCGTGTAGACGCGCGAACACTTTCTTCACACGCTCGTCGTGCTCTCGCTTCGAAGTACCCATGACGATGATGTCATCCAGGTAAGCTGCTGTTCCGTCCAGTCCGTTGATCAACGAGTTCATGACCTTCTGGAATATCGCTGGTGTGATCCTAGCTTTCACAAGGAACACACACTTCGTGTCGACAATCGGATATCTGATCGACACGGAATATCGCAATAAACCTTTATCCCAATGTAGTCGCCAACAACGTCTTTCTTGATCACAATCCTTGGAATGAAGAACAATCGAGGGATAGTAGATCAGCAGCCAAGCGGGTTGCAGGAAAAACCGGATAAATCAGAATGACCAAACGGGCCTAAACTCTGGTGGGGCTGGAAAGGGTCGGGAGACTACAGGGTCCAAGTGTACAGGGTAGTCTCACGGGAAGACACATTACGACGGTAAAGGCCAGCGCCCACAACACCTCCCCCCTTAAAAGAAAAGGTTGTTGCGTGCACTTTACAACAAACAACAACGGGTCAAACAAAAAATGAATTTTGTGACACCAAAACAATATGAACGAGAAAGATAAAGACAATTCAGCTTATTCCTTCTTGTTCACGTGGGAGACCATTTTCGGGGTGCCCGACGGGTACGCGTCGGCATCGCCCGTGACGCCACATCCTTCTTTGGAGCACTTGACGACGCCATTTGCTCTCGTGTAGACGACTTGTCGGTTCGAGCAGCTTCCTTGGCCTTGTCACTCGTGTCGCGCGCATCCGGGGCTCGTTTACGGAGCTGATTCGCGTGACGTGTCCATGTTAGGCCATCATCCAACTTGACCTTGTAGATTGTGCGCGCCATTTTTGCAACAATCATCCCTCGAATCCACGTCGTCTTGGCACCGCGATAGTCCTTGACGTAGACCAGATCCTTGACAGAAAACATTCGGACTTTCGCGTTCCAGTGGCGATTGAATTGCGCCTCTTGCTTGAGATCCGTGCGTTTTCGTCCTTCATCCACCTTCTCCATTGAAGTGGCTCGCGGTTGGAAGAGCGTCAGCGGAACACGCAGCTTTCGACCCAGGAAAAGTTCAGCGGGAGACTTTCCATTCGGCATAACGGCGCCGGGTGTCGAACGATGAGCTTGTAAAAAGCATTCCAGAGCTTTTACCATCGGCGTTCCTTCAGCTTGAGCCTTCAGTACCGCACGTTTGCATACATCGACGTAGCGTTCAGCTTGTCCATTGCTTTGTGGGTGGTACGGCGGTGAGAACATGTGACGAATTCCATTTTTCGTGCACCATTCATCGAAGAACTTGTTCGCGAATTGTCGACCATTGTCCGAGACGATCACTTCGGGCAATCCGTATCGAGCAAACAAAGCGTCCATGACCTCGACCGTCTTTTGCGCATCTGCCGTCTTCATGGGCACGGCCTCGACCCATTTCGAATACGCGTCGACGATGATCAACAGCATCTGTCCTTCGATGGGTCCCGCAAAATCGAGGTGAATCCTTGACCATGGCGCATGTGACAACGGCCATGAGTGCAGAGTGTTCTTGAGCGGTGATTTGGCGAATTGAGCGCACACATCACAACTTTTCGTCACTTTCTCGAGATCCGCGTCAATATTTGGCCAATAGACGAAAGATCTCGCCAAGGTCTTCATCCTTTCCGCACCTTGGTGACCTTGATGCAGCATTTTCAGCGTCTCGGGCTGAAGCAGTTTCGGGACAACTACTCGGTGGCGCCACATCAATAGTCCATCGCAGATTTCCAGATCCGAGCGTCGATGGTAGAACTTCGACAACAGCTCGTCCTTCCCGGGCTTTGGCCAGACATCCTTCCGCACACAATCCATGACCTTCAGCAACGTCGCATCTTTTGCGGTCATCCGTTTCATTCGTTGAAACTGTGTCGGTAGCGGGCATTCCAGTGCAGCCACATCAATGTCCTCGGCATCGATTTGTGCAATCATCCGATCCTCCGGGGCGTTCGGTCGGCTCGCGATCAGCCGTGAGAGTACATCTGCTTGTCCGAACTTGTCCGTGCGCACATATTCGATCTTGAAATCGTAGTTCAGCAATGTAGTCGCCCATCTTTGAAGACGATTTGCTGAGTAGATCGGGATTCCTTTCGAGCTTCCAAAAACGGCAAGCAACGGCTTGTGGTCCGTTTTGAGCAGGAACTTCCTTCCCAAAATGTAGC